GCTTCGGCAGAAGGGTTGGACTAGATGACCCACAGAGGTCCCTTCCAACCCCTACTATTCTGTGATTCTGTAAAGGTTCAGTCACAAACTTGAACCATCCTGTAGCTATTTACATTTATTAAGATGCACTGTGATTGCAAAGGACTAAAAAAATCGACTGAGCATCACGTCATTTAAACAAGACACGTTCGTTTACGCCCTCTTCTTTGGTCATCTGTAGCAACACGTTTTATCATCTCAAGAATACCCACGGTTCTCTGGAGTATTTCTTCACTAGTGCCGTTCTTTTGATAGTTAAGGTCTCCTAACGACGGTTACGGTCCATGGCAGTGCGGGCTTGCACAGAAAGCTCTGATCAAGGGTAGGGGTGAAGCACGCAGCCGTCAGGCCATGAAGACCACGGTGGCACGGATCAGGGCAGCGTGCCTAACGCGCTCTGACGGAAGCACAATACCTGAAGTACATCGCCACCAATACCAAGCCATCCAGGGAGCACCACTCCTTTTAAATCTTTTGAGTGAAATACATTTGGCAATGATGGAATTCAGGAAAAAACAAAAGGAGGGGGGGAAAAAGGGAGGATGTTGTGCACTGAAATGGTTTTCTGCTCTAGGCAAGTTCATAAAATCTCTCAGCAAGATGCCAGACCATCTTCCACGAAATGGATTTGCAGTAATTTGTGTTCCGAGTACAAAGGATCAAGTCACCTAGGGCAAAACACTATTGTTTGTCTTTCGGGGACTATCACAGAATATCACAGAATAGTAGGGGTTGGAAGGGACCTCTGTGGGTCATCTAGTGCAACCCCCCTGCCCAAGCAGGGTCACCCAGAGCAGGCTGCACAGCACCGCGTCCAGGCGGGTCTTGAATATCTCCAGAGAAGGAGACTCCACAACCTCCCTGGGCAGCCTGGGCCAGGGCTCCGTCACCCTCAGAGGGAAGAAGTTCTTCCTCGTGTTCAGCTGGAGCTTCCTCTGCTTCAGTTTGTGCCCATTGCCCCTTGTCCTGTCACTGGGCACCACTGAAAAGAGCTTGGCCCCATCCTCCTGACACCCACTCTTCAGATATTTGTAGGCATTTATAAGGTCCCCTCTCAGCCTTCTCT